CTAACTGATTAATCTGTATAGGTACATGGAACATGAATGTCCTCTTTCTTAAGATAAATCTCGTACAACAACTCTTGTGGGGGAGGACAGAAGGGTGGTGGAAAGAGTTGAAAAATATCTCTGAAAAGAAGGCCCAGAATATAAGAGAAAAATTGCATTTTCAAAACAGAAGATTAGTGTAGGAAGATGTAAACAAACAAAACTGTGACTTTTGAACTACGCTACACCATTTTCCACTGAACTTAATGACTGCATTCTTTTAAAGAATTAATTCTCAAGATACTGTGTTTGTTTCAAAGCATCATATTTTGATCATTTATTTCCTCTTGTTACTATGTCTATTAAATACAATCATGAACTTTACACTGGTGTCAATTACCTAGAATGAGGTTCAGAAAATGTATAACACTGCTGCATGGTCTATCTCATTAAGCAATTTATTTATTTTAAATTCAGTCTGGGATTAGAATTGAGGTGGAATTCAAATGAAGAAATACAGTGCTACTGCCTTGTCTCTTAAGGTGCAATATGGAGCATAACTTTATGGTAAGGATGTCTGGGAGAGTTGTTGAGTAGAAGATCAGTTAACCGGAGGAATAAATTTCACAGTGTAAGTCTGAAGGAAGACAAAAGATAATTAATGGAATTAATTAATTATCAAATTCTCCTTTTTTTTTTTTTTTTTCCTCTCATGAATAAACTTGCTTACAGAAAAGCATTATATGATAACAAATATTTGTGAAGGTCTTTTATGTAATTGTTTGAGATCCAGACACAGTAAAAGCTTTGAAGAGATGAATTCTAAATAGCTATAAGACTATGTGCCAGCATCTATCTAAAAATAAAGATACTATACAACTATCTGAGGTGGGGCTCAGCCTCTTCTCTCACGTAACCAGGGATAGGACTAGAGGAAATGGCCTCCAGTTGCACCAGGGGAGGTTGAGGTGGGATGTTAGAAAAAAAATTCTTCTTCAAAAGAGTGGTCAGGTGATGGAATGTGTTGCCCAGGGAGGTGGTTGAGCCACTGTCTCTGAAGGTGTCGAAGAAATGTTTAGATGTGGTACTAAGGGACATGGTTTTGTGGTGTAATGTTGGTGGTAGGTGGAAGCTTGAGCTAGATGATCTTGGAGGTCTTTTCCAATCTTGATTCTATGACACTATGCTTTTGTCAGTAAAATCTTGTATTTCTGTTAAGTGGTTCACTCACATGAGAAATCCTCTTAAGGAATAATCTGTCCATACAGTCACTTTCTAAGCTACATTCTCTTTAGACCAAGAAAAAATTCTTAAATACTAAAAAAAATATAATAGGATATTACATATTCTTTGCACACACATTCACAAATACATACATTCACAGGTACATACACACACACACATATATGTAATTGTATGTTTTAATTTACCTTCATGAGGCCATATCAATCTGCTTTGGTTGATTTAGATGTTTCCTACTCTTGACTGAGTTGATTTGAATGGTTGTTTTTTAATCTCACATAAGGTATACATATACATATAAAGAATATTCTCTCCCTCCTATAAATAGGAGCAGAACAGCTAGGCCAATATGGCTGGATGTTGCAATGAAATAAAATAGGGGAACTTCACAATGTTCTTTTCTCAGTCAACTAGTACCCTAAACAAGCTAATGAAGCTAATCAGCTTCAGAAATCACCTGTGAGATCTTCTTCAAACACTACTGATACTGAGATGTAAGTATTACTCTCTGATATGTGCCTACTGCTCTTGCTTGAGCTGTTGGTCCGCTTCAGTTAAGGACATTCACAAAACAGTAGAAATATCAGAGACATCTGTGTATTTGTATTTTAACTCTGATACTATTCAGCATACTATTCTGAGTAATATTACCATGATTTATTCACTGGATGTTCATTTCTTTACTCAATTTATACATAGTGTATCCTATGGCCAATATTTTTGAATGATCAGAGAGGTCTAATTTATAGATAAATTATTTCTATATTTTACCAGAAGAATCTGATCTATTAACATTCTTGTACTATATTTTGTTGTCCTTAACTGAATCTAGATGATGCTTAGTTTTCTACTACTATCTAGCTTTTTTATTATTATTTTTGCAAGACTAACATATTTCATATATTTCAAAGCATATTTATTTACATGTATCTATGATTTCTCCTTAAAAAAATAAATAATTTTGCCAATATTTTATAAGAAATCTCTTGTCTTGCATTTAATTTTATGTCACTGATTGATAGATTAAAACATGAAAGGCACAAAAATCTTTAACTTCACGATCAGTTATGAAAACTTTTCTTACTTTTTAATTATTAAGGAAAGATATAACTCAAGTTTACACTTGAATTAAAAATACGAAAAGCATTATATTTTGTCTGCAATGTTAAAGTGTAAGGCATTCAGAAATGGATACTTTGACAGAGGCAGCAAAACATTCATATTTTATATTTGCTCTATTTTATAATGCAGTTTTTTCATTTTTTTTGAACAGAAAATAATTTTTTTTTTTTTCAAATGTGTAAAGGAAGTCTGAATTTTTAAAAGGTTTTTTTTCTGCAAAAAATCTGAAAAACAAAGATCACTCAGGAATGTGAATACCTTATCCATATACACTTTGATCTTATATTCATGTGAGAAATACTTAAAAGCAATAAATCAAAATTGCTTGCATATATGAAAATGATTTTTCCATTGATCCAACAGTCAATTTTCTAAAATCTGTCTGCATTTTCTAGTGATTTACCTAGACATAGATTAATTCTTCTGCCTTTGAATGTTGGATCAGACTCTCAAGCATTAATAAATTCATTCTCTTCAAAGTGAAATCTCCTTAATTTTCTAATTCTGAAAACTCTGATCACTCATTATTACAATTTTAGCATTAATAAAGGACAGAAGAATCATCATGATTTAAAACTTTAATTAGGAAACTGATAAGTTAAATGTAGCTTGCTGTCTCATTTAAATTGCATCAAATTAATTGTGTGTGTTTAATTCATCAGTGTTTAACACTAGATATTAATTTTCTTAGAGATTATATGAAAGAGGGAAAGGGAAGAAAGTGGAGCCAAAGGGAAAGGATCAATATGAGCATTTAGTCATTCAGGAAACAGGTTTGACTCGAGGTGACTCAAGTAAAAATTGGAGCAAAGGAAATGAACTTATTCTTGTACCACAAAGTGGATATACTGATTTCCACGATAATTTGGTCTCAGGAACGTTTCCGCTGAAGCCAGTGTCTCTTGTTTAAATGGAATCCTTACTCCCACTCCAACTAGTAATCTAGCACCCATCCCCTATCCTGCTGTCTCTGCTGTTTCAACCAACTGTTCCATGTGAAGTATTTTTCCCATTTACATCAGATACAATATCGTTAATACACTGTCATGCTTTAAGCTACAGTATGTCTTCCAATTCCAGTCTAGTCTTCTCTTTGTCACACTTTCTTCTACACCACGTTCTGGTTTTCATCACACTGAGGACTATTTCATTCTCATTTAGATTAGATATTTTTTGCATTTTTTTTGTCCTTCTATTGTTTATTTAGTATTTTCTGTTTTTCCCTTTGTCATTTCAGATTATTTCTAATATAGAGATAGCCAGGAAATGAGTCCATGAGGCATACTGTAAAAACTGAGCTATGCACTATTAATTCATTAGTTTACTTCTTGATTCTGTTTTGCACTACTCTGTTTAGCTCCTTCTAGGACAATATCTAGTATGATTTACTCTTCGGGCTACTCTCAAAATCAGTAAAGAAGAAATTGCACTGGATTGTTTTTTTTTTTTTTTTTTCTATTTCACACTGTCTTCCAGTACTACCCCTGCAGACTCCTATCTTTCAAAAAAAATTCTGCATTTTCTCATCTTGCCTCAGGATATTAACTCACACATTTAGTTTCATGCAGTAAAAATACTACCATGCTCTAAAGTCACTACTATGACTAAAAATTTTAGAAAAAAAAAAAAAAGTAACCCAACACACTACAGGTGTCTTACACAGTTTATAAGAAAAAGTAGTCTTGCTTTTGTATCTGTTTTTAATATTTGAAAATAATATTCCTTTGATGGAAAAGAAAATCTACTAACTTTGCTATAGCATGAATAAGTACATTGCATGCATTCCCATGCAGCTGAAATCTAAGTAGACTATCTTTATCATCTTAATGTAAGGACTGTTGTAAATATCAAGTGGGAAATACTATTTGTTTTACCAGAGTCCTTAGCAGATTTGAGAGATTAACAGCAGAGTGCAAGGACATACTGCATACCTCTTCTGAGTTCCTCTATTTCCACCTTGATTGCAACAGATTAAGTTTAATTATCAATTTGAAATAATTGAGTTTGTTTTAAGCTACTTGTTTTTTTCTCATCTTACCCCCTGAATGTGTTTTCAGACTTTTCTGAACCAGCTGCCTCACTGTGCTCACTGAAAGGTGGAAAAGGGACCCCATAAGGAAAAGTAAAAGGCAAAAAGAAGGTTTCACAGTAACTGAGAATAGAGGGGGGGGGGGGAGATAAAAGGGGATAGTTAGGAATAGTTTATAGAAGCAGGAATGTGGAGCTCATTAGAGAAAGGGGGATAGCAGCACAGGGTCTGGGATAGTGAGGGCGATGAAGGCCATGCTGATAAGATTTGAGACATCTGGCAGGGAGGTGATTAATGTCCACAGAGTAAGATAAAACTAGTTTGGGGGATGCTCCCCTTCTCTGTCAGGAGTTATGGCAAGGAAGGTCAGAAGCCTTCATGAAAAAGACAACAAATTCTTCAATCCATGACCCACTACACATGCGCAATAGGGGAGGGTCTGCATGCTTTGGGGTATAATGAATATGTATCCGAATTCCAGGAAACTATTGAGTATGTATTAGTTTGGCCTATATCTGTACCACGATTTTTCTAGATGGTGTGCAAGCTTGGAGGAATTATCCCCCTTACACCAGGGCTTTTGCACAATTGTCAATAAAACATACCTTCTCTATATCCTTACAGGCTACAGGGTTTGATTTTCCACACATCACTCACATTCATTGTTTGATCTCCATAAACATTCAACAAGCACTGATGAATGTTTGGTGAAGTTGCTGCAATTTTTTCTTCATGGAGGAATTCAGTGGCATAACTCTGGTTCATATGCACTTCCACGTCAGCTGCCATTTTGTCATAGTGCCCCTCTGCTGACATCTGCCACACAGGAAAAAAAAAAAAAAAGTAACAATATTGGTAGCAAGGTTCAGCTACTGCCATAGCACCAACATCCACATCTGATGTTATAGGCCAACATAATAAAGCAAGAGGCATTATTGTCTGAGCAGCCCTAGCAAAATATACAATATTGTTAATAAAAAAGTTAAAAAAAAAAATCTTAAAACATTAAACAAAAAAAAAAAAAATAAAAAAAAAATAAAAATAATAAAAAAAAAAAATAAAAAAGAGGAACCAAAACATAAAACTAATGGGATATTTGACATTGTTTTTGTAAAACTAATACGTGGGCTTGATGGTAGTGACTGCAATTATCAATGAGGTGTCAAGGTATTCATCAGAGGCTGATGAAACTTTACTCTTCCTGTACTTAACCCCTGACAATTTTGTGTACCATCAAAAAAAGATGGCATGAGTAAGGGGTGATTGTGAACATGCACAAACTGAAAAGTTTGGAATAAAAAATAGAAAAGTTCCACATGAACATGAGGAAAAACTTCCTTGAGTGTTCCTGAGCGTTGGACCAGGCTCCCCAGAGGAGACTCATTCTCTGGAGATACTCAGAGCCTGTCTGGACACTTTCCTGTGTAACAGACTCTAGGGAACCTTGTTTAGCTAGGAGGTTGGACAAAATGATCTCCCGAGGCTCCTTCCAACCCCTCAGATTCTGTAATTCTATGTGACTGAAAACACTTTTCTACAACAGATTTTTGTTATTGTGGTCACACATTGAATAATCATTTTGGATTCATTCATCTCATGCATTTGGCATATCACAGATAGTTATATGTTTCAAAATTATGTGTGCTAAATTATTGAAATTACCTGGTCATATCCCAAATTAGAGTAGGTGACTGTAGTCACACCCATACCAGTAAACAATGAAAAAATGAGTAGAAAAGGGTTTAGTTAGAGTGCACTGTGCTCTTGCTAATCCTATCCAGTACTTTTAGGAATGTCAGGTAAGTAGCATAAGACAGAACAGTTTCCAGCTGATCTAAGACACACTGGAGATCAGCTCTACCCTAAAAGTTTGATAGCATCAACTGATCTCAGGACAACAATCCTTCTCACTGCTGTGTTGAAGACAATTTCAGGACAATCGCAATTATGAGATTTTTCACTTTAAATTAATCCATGTGTCACGGTTTTGTGATTTTTGGTTTTCGGTATTCCACATCATAACATCATGTGGGGCACTGGGACTTTAACTGTTAATGCTCGAGTCCTGGGTACCTGCCCAGAAGAGAAGAAGAACTACATTCCCCAGGAGACTTTGTGGTCAGGGAGAGGAAATTTAACTCCTGGCAAGGTCACCTGATGTGCACTTTCTCGCCTGCCCTTCGTCGTGGGCGCTGCTCCCATCTCCCCACTGCTCAACTGGACGGCGCATCTCACCTCAGCATTGTGGTGAGGCCTATCCACCTTTTGGACATTCTCTCTCTCATATTTGATTTATTAGCTTCAATTCTGATTATATTGTATTTAGTGTGTTATCTTGCATTCCAATACTATATTTAGTAAATTAGTTTGTTTCTCCTCAGATCGTTGCCGCTGTTTTAATTATTTTGGGGTCCCGTCTGCTTTTTTTCTGGAGGCGTGGATCCCTCCGCCCCACTCACAGAATCACAGAATTGTAGGGGTTGGAAGGGACCTCCAGAGATCATCGAGTCCAACCCCCCTGCCAAAGCAGGTTCCCTACAGCAGGTCACAGAAATAGGCATCCAAGCAGGTCTTGAACATCTCCAGAGAAGGAGACTCCACAACTCCCTGGGCAGCCTGTTCCAGTGCTCCGTCACCTCACTGTAAAGAAGTTCTTTAGCGCACATTTCTGAAGAACTTCCTATGCTGCAGTTTCCAGCCGTTTCCCCTTGTCCTGTCTCCACTCACCACTGAAAACAGTCTGGCCTCGCCATTCTGCCCCCCACACCTTAGATATTTATAGACCTGGATCAGGTCCCCTCTCAGTCTCCTTTTCTCAAGGCTGAACAGACCCAGATCACTCAGCCTTTCCTCATAGGAGAGATGGCTCCAGGCCCTTCACCATCTTTGTGGCCCTCCACTGGACTCTTTCCAAGAGATCCCTGTCTTTTTTGTACTGGGGAGCCCAGAACTGGACACAGTACTCCAGATGAGGCCTCACCAGGGCAGAGTAGAGGGGGAGGATCACCTCCCTCGACCTGCTGGCCACGCTCTTTTTAATGCACCCCAGGATGCCATTGGCCCTCTTGGCCACAAGGGCACACTGCTGGCTCATGGCCAACCTGCTTATCATGGAACCGGGCCAAACCAGCCCGTAAACCATTGACACCATGAGAGTTTAACCTCTAGATCTTTCCTACAAGCTGAAAAACCTTTTTATGTCATTTTGCATATGTAGCTGTTACTTATCTGTTTATATTTCTTTATCCTTATGTAAGGCCTTAATTAAACACTCTGGCTACAAGAAGCTTTGAAGGAAGATATCTTTCTGATCTGTCCTTTTTGTCTCCTGAAGAATGAAGAATGCAAGCATGGTTAATCTGGCTTCCGTTATTGAATTCTTACTGATTACTACTGTTTCCCATATGTGTTCCAGCATGATAATTAAAAGGTGGAAAAAAGAAGTTTCCTGACCTGTTTTTTGGGGCTTTTTTTAGGCACTTCTTAAAAAGTGGTGAGTATAGCAGAGGTAGTCTGCCTAGTCTCTGAGAAATAGGGTTAGGGTTAGAGGAGACATTCAGTTAGAAAGTCCTCATATTGATCAAAATGTAAATTCAGTAGGTTCTGAAAAGCTTCAACCTTAATTCCTGTGTAATGTTTGTGTCCCAACTTTTTGAGCTTTATAGTTCACTGTAGGAGATATTGGCCACCTGGGCACTTCTGGCTCTTACTCAGCCAACTTTCCATCAGTACATTAAGGTCCCTTTCCATCTGGAAAGCTACCTGATGGAAAGGGACCTTGGTGTACTAATGGATAGTCAGCTGAACATGAGCCAGCTGTGTGCCCAGTTGGCCAAGAAAGTCATTGGCATCCTGGCTTGTATCAGGAATGGTGTGGTGAGCAGGACTAGGAAAGTAATCCTGCCCCTGTACACAGCTCTGGTGAGGCCTCACTTTGAGTGTTGTTTTCAGTTTTGAATGTCCAGAAAGGACATTGAGGTGCTGGAACAGGTCCAAAGAAGGGCACCAAGGCTTGTGAAAACATGCCCAACGAGGAGTGACTGAAGGATCTAGGGCTGTTTAGTCTGGGGAAGAGGAGGCTGAGGGGAGACTTGGTTGCTCTTTTCCAAAACCTGAAAGGTACTTACAGCAAGAGTGGGATTGGTCTCTTCTCACTTGTGACAGGTGACAGGATGAGGGTAAATGGCCTGAAGTTTCACCAGTCTAAGTTTAGGTTGGATATCAGCAAACACTTCTTTACAGAAAGGGTCATTAAGCACTGGAATAGGCTGCCCAGATAGATGGTTGAGTCACCTTTCCTGAATGTGTTTAAGAACCATTCGGATGTGGTGCTCAGGAATATGATTTAGCAGAGGGTTGTTAGTTTAGGGTAGTTTGGTTAGGTTGTTGTTGCACTCGATCTTTAAGGTCTTTTCCAACCTGAGCAATTCTATGATTCTGTAAACAATGACCCATTAAGATGAGTATGTGGTCCCCGTGACAAGCTTCAGTAATTGCAGAATCACAGAATTGTAGGAGCTGGAAGGGACCTCCAGAGATCATTGAGTCCAACCCCCCTGCCAAAGCAGGGTCCCTACAGCAGACTGCACAGGTGGGCGTCCAGGAGGGTCTTTAATGTCTCCAGAGGAGAATCCACAAGCTACTTGGACAGCCTGTCCCAGTGCTCCATCACCCTCACCATAAAGAACTTCCTTTGCGTATTTGTGTGGAACGTCCTATGCTCAAGTTTATGGCTGTTTCCCCTTGTCCAGTCCTCAACCGCTGAAAAGAGATTGGCCATATCCCTTTGCCTCCCGCACTTAAGGTATTTATAAACATTAAAAAGTTCTCAGTATTCTTTTCTCAAGGCTGAACAGACCCAGTTTGCTCAGCCTTTCCTCAAAAGAATGATAGTTTAGTCAAGGAAACAGGATTATTAAACAGAAAAACAAAATTATTCCCTAATTTCAGTGTCAGAGGACTTAAATCCTGAAAAGTATTACTACACCTTTAGCGTATGCCATATTAGAGAAACATCAGGAAGAGATAGGCCTAACTTGCTGTCAATACAAATTCCACAAAAAATATAGAACATCAGAATCAGAATATCAGAAATTACCTTATAATGCTCAGAGACTGATTTATAAAATGGAATCAGGACCCTGAACTTTGAGAGAGTAAACTTTGGGTATAAGTGATTCTTGGATGAGACCCATGGGAAACTGTCTTTATGGACAAAGGAACAGAACAAAGCTAGAAGCATTTCAAGTATGCCTTTCTGAGAGCATAAGAGCACACCATCTTCCAGAATAAAAAATTAGACAGATGAGGCAGGAAACCAGAATGGGTGAGCAAAGACCTGTTGGTCAGACTGATGAGAAAAAAAAAAAAAAGAAAAGTATAAGAGCTGATTTCTTCAAACATGTGGAAGGTTGAGGTACTTAATGAGTTCTTTGTCTCAGTCTGCATTACCAGTCAGGCCTCCCACACCTCCCAAGTCCCTGAATTCCTAAGGAGGGGTCTGGGGAGAAAAATCACTCCTGTTGTAAGAGAAGACCAAGTCCAATACCCCACATGGGGTTGAATATGTACTTGGGCCAGATGGTAAGCATCCCAGGAGAAAAAAAAGCTTCTTTACTTTGAAGGTGACAGAGCATCAAAACAGGCAACACAGAGAAGTTGTGGAGTCTTTTCTCTGGAGATATTCAAAACCTGTCTGGATGCTTTTCAGTATAAAATGCTCTGGTGAACTTGGTTCAACAGGGGTTTGAACTAGGTGATCTGCAGAGGTCCTTTCCAGCCCCTACAATTCTGTGATTTGGCTGTAAGGAGTACAGTTTCTTCTAGACACAATTTTACAGGAACTATCCTTAATTTCATGCCTAGGCATCATCTCTAGAACAGAGAATACAGTTGTGGTGCTGTAGGAATGGTAACTGCATGTAATGTAAATTGAATACCTAAAAAAAAGTGCAAAAAAAATTGTGCCAACTTCAGCACTTTTGTGCTGAAGTGTAAGGTTTATTTCTTTCCTGTAGTTTTTCAGATTACTTTTTCAGACTCCAGTAGACATGTTGGCTTCTACCTTTTCTACTCGTATCTGTCAAAACCAATGATTCATGTTGAATGTGCAGTCACCCAAGTAGACACTGCTAGGAACCTTGTGACTGGGTAATAAATTCTAGATGACATTACATGTAGGTAAGAGTTATGAGATGCACATGAAGAAAATAATTTGAATTTCCTATATAAAACAATGGATTCCAACTTTTCATTAACACTTAGGAGGAAAATATGCTTTTGAATTTTTAAAAAGGAAAATGTTGGTACAACAACAACCCAAATATATTAGAAAATATGGAATAATAGTAAGAATATCTTTATGCCACTGTGTGAAACTTTCATTTACTTTCATTTGAAAAGAATGAATAATTCTGGCCTTTATTGAAAAGTAAAAAGCATACCTGGAAGATAGTTTAAAGAAGGCTAATGAAGATTTTAAAAATTGGACAACTTCCTCTGTGATGACTTGTGTGATAAGAACTACTAAGTGGACTTCAGTCTTGAAGAGAAGTGTTCTGCACAGAAGCATGTATCATGAAGAAAGTTGCTTGTGTACTTTCTCTTTTAAGGAAAGAATAAAAAGGTGGAAGGCTTTTTTATTAAGGCTGTGCCCCTACTCTCCCCCATTGTCCTAAAAATATAGTAAATCTTAATAATCAAAATCTTGTGGAAAAAAATGCACAATAAAGACTCTTCATACTATAACTGATAACAGATTTGTACAACTCCTCATTATGGGATATTATACATAGATAGAATTTGCAGTTTCTAAGATGCAGATAGTGTAAGTCATGGAGAATAAATACATTTTGAGTTCATACATAATGAAAAAAAAACAACATCAGCATGCAATTAATTGAAGGCTAACAAAATACTAGGAAGAAATTTTATATATACCTGCTCTGTTTCTGCCATCTCCTAACTATCTTTTTGGTGACCATTTTAGGAGCTAATCTGATACAGTGTGACTACCTTGCTCTGAAAATAATACATTTCAGTGATGAAAGGATGAATCACCTACGTGGATTAGGGAAAATACTACTACCTGTAGAACTATTTTAAATTGCTAATTTCAAGCAATGCAATAATGTGACCTTCTGGGACAGTCTTTGAATCTGTCTTGAAAAATAAGTGACAGAATAAACCTAAAGTGATTTTCTCCCTGGAGAGAAGAAGTTCTTGGTAGATAAGCTTAAGTAACACATACGTCAGCCAGAAGTAAATTTACATCAGTTAAAAAAAGTTACCTTGAAAAGAGGTCCATTGTCACACGGGATTTGCAGTTTTATCAGGAACTCTTATTTAATGATAGGTTCACGTCCTAGAGAAGACAGAGTTCAGGAGGCAGTCCCTGGCTTGTCAAGGTTGTCACACACTAAAATATAAAGCTAGCAGCATCAAAGAATTATCTATGTAGGAACGTATAGGCAATACATTTAGTACCTTTTTATTCTTTTCCCTCCTTTTTTCTTGCCCCAAAACAGGTCTGTTAAATTCAGTTTCAAAGCCACTCCACAGCAAGGTTTAAGCTCACAGCTGTAGCAAGATACTCGAGCTGTCATGCAACAGCCCCATTCGCCAGTAAAATGGTACATTTTATAATATTTTAGAACTTGCCTGACTGAAATAAGACAAGTATTTAATTTGCTATTGTTTGAAATATTACAGAAAAAAAGGCATCAATCAACCAGAAATTAACTGATTGACCTTAATTATACAAAAAAAAACCAAGATGCCACTGCTTCAAGGTTTTACCCTGTCATTAATTTATATCATAAATGTCTGGAAAATAAAGTTCTAATAAAACTGAGGACACAGATGATAGTTTAACTCTAATACAAAAACTTTTTATTTATTTATTTCTATTGTTTTTTGGGGGGTTCTTTCATAGATCTATTAAAAATACAAGAGCAAATTACTTTTGCTTGATGGATTATGCAGTTGTAAAATACAAGTTGTGTTAAGTAGCATTCAAAAAAAAACCAACACTGAATCTTTCTAAACATGCCTTTTGGCTAGTTTTATGTTTATTTTGCAATGTTCCACAAAAAAAAACTTCTCAAATTTACCATTTTTGCTTCTCAGATGCAATCCTCCTCACTGAACAGAAACTATAAACAACAGTGTTCAAGACTATAACCTTAAGTGTGTTTGTCATGACATACTTGCTGCACAGCCGTAAAAACAATAACAGCAAAGATAATGGAAGACACTGAAAGGTTTATAACTGTAAAAACATTTAAGCTAGCAAAATCTTCCCGCTTGAAAAAGTGTGAACACTAACCTGTTTTACTTTCTAATGTTGTTTCTAGCAACTGAATATGTTCTACACTTAGAAATTACATATTCTGCAAGAATTAATCAAACATGCCTTGGTAAAGGAAATGTACCAAAGAAGGAAAAAAAATCCGCAGTGACCTGAAACAGTATGTAATCTTTTTACCTGATGGTTTGTTTTTTGTTTGCATTTTTTTTAATTTGCATTTTTGTTTGCGTTTTTTTTTGTTGTTGTTGTTTTGGAACCAGCATTTTTATTTATATGAGAAATTCTGTTTGTGAATAACATAAAATATAACTTCTTGTGACTAAATCTGATATCTTATATATTTAAACATAGCAATGAATTGGATGATCTGATTTTTAATTTAGTAATTATTTTGTATAAAATATAACTTTCATTCAAAAAATAGCATTCTGAGTCTCCATAAGTTTTACACAGAACCACAGAAACACCAAGTTTGGAAAAGACCTATAAGATCATGCAGTCCAACCACCCACCTATCACCAATAGTTCTCACTAGTTTTCTTTATGTTTCTGGAATGAGATATAGCACTGAAGTTGTATGCTAAATATCATACTCTATAAGCAAATCATGTGACTATCCCTTATAACCTTGAAGAATGAAAGTCTGTGAGTTAAGTTACAAAGGCACTAGTACTGACTGGACACTACCAAGTGTGTTAGAAGTCAAAATGACTTTGAGTAAACAAACATAAATTACTACTTTTTTTTTATTCATTGTGTGACAAGAAAATAGTAACTATGATATTGAATGAATCTGTACAAGTTCATATTTCATGATTAAGCTCATTAGCTCTCCAAAAGATTTTTTAGCATAAATCATTCTGAATTTTGCAAATGTGTACATATATAAATATTTGTATAAACAATGAATATAAAGATGTAACAGTTATGAAATAAGAGAACTTGGGAAAGCAGGTTATAATAACAAGAAGAGAAAAGATATAATGCTTATTCACATTCCAGTCTCACTGCAAAGCTCCAAAAGAGAGATCTCCAAAAGAGATCCTTTCCCACTGGTAGTCAGCTCTTAAATGGGTCTAGGAGAGGTGGAGTCAGGCTCCACCCCTTCCGGCAGCACAGGTGAATTGCCTTCACCTGTGCTGCTGTGGCTGACTCATTGTTCACGTCAGGTGATCAATCAGAGGTTCAGGCTATGATTCAGCAGTTCCTATACAATATTAAAAAAAAAAGACAAAAAAAAAAAAAAGAAAAAAAAGTAGTAGAATTTTATATTATGAAAGTGTTTCAATGATGTAGCTGACTGTTCTGTGACTGAAAAATTAAGTCTGCGTACTTCTGCTATCAATATTTAAGTGGCATGACAAGACAAAGGCAGAAGGAAGAATTGTTATGAATAAATTGGTTTCTACCTGCAATGTCTTTTATATTAATCATTGATTTTTGGTGTGCTATTTTAAAATGTTCATGTCTCATTAACAAATTAGGACATGATCATCAAGTATTCTTCTTTGATAGAATAACTAGTTTAGCAGATTACAATGAAACAATGGCATTGATTTTAAAAAAGCTCTTACAGTGGCTAATACAACATTCTCGAAATCCAAGCAGAGAAAAGACAGTTACCTCTGAGACATCTACAATACTGATTGAAAATAATGCTGAATGAAATTATGTAAGTATTGTGATTGGTTAATATGTAGGTTTTCTGGTCTGAATGCAGTTTTGTTCAATACTTTCATATCTGCTAGCTGGCAGAATTTAGAGAATATTTTTAAAATTGTTGATAACAAATTTAATGAAATCGAGTTAAAAGAGTTTGCAAACACATTACAGAATTGTTTTTTGAAGTTCACAAGATAAAGGTAACATCACTTGACAGTAGTACTGTGCTAAACTTGAGTAAATGATTAACACTACAGCTCGAAAGATTTAGAGAATGACAGTGATCCATATATTAACATAGGGAGGTTGATTCTTATGAAAAATGAAAACATCATTTAGGAAACCAGGTGCTTTAAATGCAGATTATATTTTTTTCTATCCTAAATTTCAGTTTTGAATGAAAGTTGTAGTCCAAAAAGAAGATAAAAAATGATAGCTATTACAACAATAACTGAAATACACCTTAGGAGGAAAGATCAAAGACTGGTTTGATTTTATTTGGCAGACTACAGAAACTACAATGAAAAGGGCAATAACTAGATGTCCTTATTTTGCTGGAGAAAAATTTATGTTAAATGTTGAAAAAAACCTTCGTAATAAAGGCAGTAAATAACAGGAAGATAATAGCAAATAGATCATAGATTTTTAAAGAATTGAATATGTATTTATCTCTGATTATAATAGTCAAGTTATATACCATCTTTGATAAAAGAGAATCAAGTGATCTTTCATAATACATTTCAGTATCCTTTCTGTGCAATCTTATGATCAATTCTAAATATTTAAAAAGTCTCAAATCTCTTGAGTTGCTGAATATGCTAAATATGCTAAATTCATTAGGAAACATAGTATAATTTTATTATAATAATATATAAATGTAGAACTAGTTTACGAATATTATTTTCATGGTATATCTGGATATCAAGAAAAAAATAATATAAAATTGTTATTTTAATTACATTGTAAATTTTCATGAATTAATATGTTAGTGTCATCAATGTGATGTCAGTGTGATAATATTCTCCAAGATGTTCTCCAAAATTACATTTTTGGTGCTTTTAGAGGAGATGAGAAATATTTAGTTTGTAGAGATATGGAAAATTTTAAATTATGTTTAGCCATACACAAGTTCAATAGCATTTTCTCAGGAGATGTTCATATTTTGATTGTGCTATATCAAAACACAGATTTCTTTCATCCACACTGTATATATCTTTACAAGATGAATTAGAAATATTTCAGATGGGAGAGAATGCAGGGAAATACTATCACATTCTTTCCCTCATAGTATTTTTTACCTAATTAGCTACTATTGAACTATTTTAGAATGAGTACATTGAGCTTGATGAACCCTTATCCAGCCTGACCCAGAGTAGCTAGATGTTAGATTTCCATAGATCTTTAAGCCTTGATTCCTCTAATCCAAATGCTCAGAAACTGCCAAGAAAGTCAGAACATTACTATAAATGAAGTCTGACAGCAACCACTTTGTTCCCTGATTTTTCTGAGCAGATACAGTAAAAAGCATTTTAAGCAAGCCATGGTATTTGTTTCAGGTAAGATTCATGCCAAATTCGCCCTTTAGATGAAAGAGCATAATCTATTTATCATGTGAAAAAAAATAATAATAATCACGCATAGTTCATAGAATATAGAATGACTTGGACTGGAACAGATTATTTGCCCTGGTTCTATTGCTATCAGACCATTCCTTAAAGGTATGTTTTGGTCCAAGAGACAGGATGTCTCAGGAGCAGGGGCAAGCAAGCACACATTCAAGGCAGCATAGTTACAAGTTTTGTTTTGCAAACACACACACAGAGGCATCCACTTAGATAACCCTAGTAAGCGGCAAGCATAAATTCCCTTAGCAAGTTCAGTATTACTTACCGACCGTTTAGAGACAGACAAAACACTGAGTAGGAGAAGGAGAAGGAAAATGCCAGTAGTGGATTTGATAGGTAGTGTCAGCAGGGCATTCCTCACTTCAAAGTGCATTTTTCCTCTCCGAACTCACTACAGCCTTACTTCTGTCTCTATTCTCTCCAGGGTCTGCGGGTTTTTTCCAATTATGTGGAAAACACGTGATACAGAACCCAAGTGGAACACTTGTCTGCAAACAAGTTCATCTTTGTGGCTCTTCTCTGGACCTGCTCCGGTAGCTTCTCATCCTTCCTGTACTGGGGACCTCAGGCCTCGATGCACTACTCCAGATGGAGCCTCACCATGGCAGAGTAGAGAGAAATAATCATCTCCCTTGCCCTGATGGCCATCCCTTGAGTACTGCGTCCAGGCCTGGTGTCTCCAGTACAGGAGGCACATGGAGCTCTTGTAATGGGTCCAGAGGAGGGCCATTTAAAATGATTAGAGGGGTGGAGCACCCCTTCTATGAAGAAGAGTTGAGGGAACTGGACTTGTTTAGCTTGGAGAAGAGAAGGGTCCGGG